AAGAATTTTTGAATTGAATCCTCTGTGCTATCTCCTTATGGTACTGCAGAATCCTAGAAACCAAAGCACGTCTCTCTAGATTAACAGGAACATAAGTATTATACCCTTTACAAGTTGTAACAGCACACCTGTCTAGGGCAGCCTGACTCAGGTGTGAGAGAGACACTGAAGCTGACTCAGCAGATTCTTATATTAAAGATGAGCAGTCATTTAACCTGTGTCCCAATTTCCTCTCAGTAAAGTGGGGGTGATACTTCTGACCTACCTCTCTGTGGAACGGGCAGGCTAATAAAGAATATTTTATAAGGCTTTTGAAATGCTATTAGAACAAAAGCTAGGATGGAATCTGATGGCTGGCTGAAAGCTTGTATTACTTATTTATCGGTGTTACTGGTAAAAGTAAAAGGAATTGCAGATGTTATTTCCAGCGAGGATCAGTGTAGACTTCAGGGTCATCTTAGCGTGCTCATCAACACATGATGACCGTGAGTCAAGTGACACTGGGAAAGTAGCTTTCTCTGGGGAGCGCCCAGGAGATAAATGTGTTAGCTCACTTGGAGTGGTTTCATGGCACAGTTCTGAACATTTCCCTAGTGTTGATTACACACCAAAAGAAAGAATGCTGATCTGTACTAATTTAAGGTGAAGCACTGCATATTTTTGAAAATGAGACTTTTGAGGAGTCTTAATATAAAATGACTAGGTTAAGAACATTTAACTCTACTGAGAGTATTTTAATTTTATTGTTAATTGGCCAATAAGTTACATTTATTTTGTGTTTATCCCCGTAGGTAAAGAACAATCCAGTCCAGGATAAAAGTTTGATGCCAGGAGATGATTTTATTGTAATTCCTGAGCCACAAACAGAAGTTGGTATTTCTTCAGGAGACACAATGAATATAACAGTATCCAAAAGTTCTCTTACTGTTTTCAACAATTTAGCAAAGGTATGTTTGCTTCTTTCTTTCAGTATTTCAAACAGAATTTTGAATTGAGATGTGTGGATTTTTTTTTGTTTGTCCTGAAAATTAGTTTCTAAATAATGTGTAGTCACAGTGTAATTTTTGAAAAAAATTTGAGCTCTGCAAAAATGTTATTGTGATGTTGTGTTCCTTTTCAGGGTTTTTCACAGGGCGCTGCTTCTACTTTTGACTACTCTTTAAAAGACAGGGCGCCTTTTACAGTAACAAATTCTGTAGGTGTTCCCATTAAGGTACAGCCCCATCATAATCTCAGAGTGATGGGCTCCCCTGAGAAAAGTGGTGTTTGTGATCTTGATGCTGGTCAGAGTTTGGAACTGGAGTATGCCAGCATGGAACCTTCACATCAAGGGAAACTGTCCATACTGAGCCGTCAAGAAAGCTCCCTCTTCACTCTGACCTTTGGTATGCTGCTTTATTTTTAAAGGCACCTTTGGAATTGCTGGTGTCGGCTTA